ATTGTTGCTTTTAAAAAACTTCAGCATAAAGTTTTATAAAAAAAAGTCTTGGTCATATGCTTTCAGAATTACCAATGATTTTCCTTGTTTTGTTATCTCTACATGTATTTAATAACCTGTTATATTACGAGATTATGCCTGCAGTTGAACAGCTAATTCTTTAATAAGCTTGACTAGAATCAGATAATTTTGCTGATTCTAAATATCGAAATAATATTTTTATTTCTAAATTATAAAAAAAACGGAAATTTTTACTCTTTTTTGTTTTTATATTGTAATACCTAAACATTATATAATATTTAAGAACATCCAAGTACCCTTTTCATACCCCTTCAATATCCCCTACTTTTGGAAATGAATTTCTCGTTTTCATACTGGCCTATTTCTAGTAGGGTTGTCGACAAATGTTATGATTTTAAAAGTTTTAAGGAACAGTTAAATTTAGTCCATAACAAGTAGAATACAATTACGAGTAAATTTAAAAATACATTACAAAATTTAAATTTCGAGATTGTTACCTCAGATTTTGGTCTAATTTGAGTTCAGTTACAGAATGTAAAATCATTTGATCTGATATCAGAAAGTTATCAACCCACGAGTTTCACGAATATTCAAGAATTAGGGGTGTCAACGGCTAATTTTAATTTTACAAACAAATAAAATTAACAATCGCTATTTGTGTTTGAATTAACATATACCTAAACGAGTATTAGTTGTTGATATTGCATTTTATTTATAATAAAATAAGATCAATAAATATACTGGCAGAGTATCTATGCCAGGTTTGCTGTTCGGCTGTAATATACAAATGAACAATGTAAATTAATATGAGAAGAGTTAAGGATGTGCTTATATTTAGTACACTGATAAGTTTATAGTTTTGATAGACTTATATTTGCATCTAGTTTAAGGAATAATACCAATTTAGTATGCTTGTTTAATTCGTTCGAGTCCCATCTCAAGAGTGCCAGGAACAAAATGATTTTTTTAAGCATTTTCCATTAATAATATTTTTCAGTATAACATAGCGAATGTAAGATCGATGAAATATAATAATTAGAACAAATTTTCGTCTTTATCGAAAATATTTGTAAAAATATTTCTTTCGGCTCTTTGAGTGGATTGCCTGAACATTGATGAAAATACCCTCTGGAGTAGTAAAAAGTGCTTGAAAAATTCGACGGTCCTGTTAGGTCCTGGGTAGCTAAGTGGTTAGAGCAGTCACCTGGATAGCGAAAGGTCGTGCGTTGAGTCCCATCTCAAAGTGCTATGTTAATAAATTTAGTAGAAACTGACGACATTCTCAAGTGCTCTTTACTTTCACTTTCAGTGAGCGTATTTTCAGTGTTTACATAATCCACCTGAACAGCCGAATGAAAGAGGGTATTTGTAAAAATATTTATTAATATCTTAACATTTTCTAATGAAAATATATTTTTATGATGATAATATTTTTCGTTTAAGTCAATAGGCAGCCCTAATGATCAGACACACGTATATGTATTGTGAGCGCGCCCGCACCACTTTGTATACGAATTGTCATATTATGAAAATATGATTGATTTTTAATCTCTTAATCTCCGTGCGCCTGTACTGTTTACATAATGGTTTCGTCCTTGAACGTTCATGTACTAAAATGTAACAATGTAAAAAAAAAATAACACAGACGAAAACAAATTTACACTCTCAGTATTTGTTTAAGTGAACTACAATTAAAGTTTCATTTGAAACATTTGAAAAAAATATTATAATGATGAATTACAATAGTTACATGATAAATGGTAATACCATTGTGTATAGCGAGAGCCGGTATTTTTTATAATGGATGAGTTTACTTAACCGCCTCTTCGGTGAGAACATAAAAACGTTTAAACTATATTAGTAGTTTGGTAACAATCGATTATATTGAAATGTCATCAATCTTCACGCCACATTAGTATTTAGTACAAAGGCCTAAAATTAGTTATCTGTTATTTAATTGTCCTGAGTTACTCGTCTTCGTCGTGTGTAGGTAAATGTTTTGTAAAGTATTTTCTATCAAATATGTATTAAAAAAAACTGATGATGTTCTTTTGTATAACAATTTTTTTCAGCCAATATTTACGAGTTGCATTTCCATACATGGCTAAAATCGATTACATTTATTTAAAATACCAAATTATGCTTTAATTATTCACAAAGCTATACTGGAAAATATTATTTAAAAAAATATAATTAATATCGCACCCATGCTGGTAACACATATTAACTGGCAATTTTTCACAAAATGAGTTTAAACTCAACATTAGAACTGCATTTATTGGTAAAATCTATTTTACAAAAATTGACAGTTAGCACGGTTTACCCGCATGGGTGCGATATTAACCGTACACTTACATTAAAAACCTCCGACACTTTCATTGTTATAACGAGTATTCCCTTGAAAACAACATATATCCTCCATAACCATTCGTCGTCTGTCAAACGTATCCAATATAATTTATTGTCGTTCGTCCACGTGTTCCACGGAGCGTGGTACGAGGGTGAGCAGTAATTGCGCGTCAGCACGCACAGCGTATATGTACATATGTACTTAAGGGATTCCGCCTCTTTATAAGAGGCATGATTTGTTGGGTGCCATTTTATCAACTATTTCATATATAGCCAGTACCTATTTTTCTTTTAATATAAAATATGCCGAAAATTTAATTTGAACTCTTTGCTTATTTAGAATACGTGGAAATTTGAGCTTGGCAATTAGGAATAAATAAGATTATCTTAGAATTTGAAGTTGGTTAAAACTGATCAATCGATTAGATTAGCTTAGAACTAAAACAAAAAGAGCCGAGTGAAAGAAACGAGCTTGCCGCAGTAGCGGCCGGTGTGCACCATGCACAAGTTTTTAAATTTACGCTTTAGGACGTTATGCTGAAATCGCTTTATTTTTTAAACATAACGTTTTCTGTCTTAATATTATAATATTTAAAGAAGTTATAACTAAAAAGGTATACATAAATATAATAATGATAATCAAAAATATGCCATAAGCGAATTAATAGGGAAACGTTTTAAATTGTTTGAGTAAAAAATTAAAAAACAAAACCAACTTGAAACTTTAAAAAATTGCCTATCGTTTAATTAATTACCTACAGAAAACTTCCGTTCGACTTCAATAGCATTTTCTTGAAAGTCACTTTTGAAAAAATATTATTTATCAACTTTTTAAAGTTTTAAGTTGGTTATACATTTTTAAAGTTTTTATTTCATGCTTTTTAGGAATATTGTTATTTATATGTAATATCAAAAAATATAAATACCTATTTATATAATTAAAAATGTTGAATATAGCGAAATTCCTAGAAAATAAGATTTTGTTTATTTGCTCGAAACCATTTTTTCCAATAATTCTATACTCATATCATAAAGAGGAAAGATTTGATTGCTTGTTGTTTGCATTGGATAGGCTCCGAAACTACTGGAACTGGTTTATTAAAATCTTTCGTCTACGGGAAGCTACATAATGCGCGCTGGACATAGGCTATAATTTACGCAGGCGAAGTCGCGGGGAAACAGCTAGTTTAATGGAGATTGTTTCACAATACAAGAAGAAATCGATGAACATATCAATTCTCCTTTCGGATTTTGAACGAATTTAAAAAACGCTGTCTTTTGTTTTTTAACGGAAATTAACATATCATCTAAATATTTAGATGATATCTGGTATTTTTTTGTTATAAAATATGTTCGATTTCGATACAATTTAAATGGAACCACCTCAGTCAATTAAGCTGCCAAATAAAAACAAATGTTTAGAAAATTGGTCAACAATTGGCGGGAACATCGGTGAACATACAAAAAAATAACATCGCCGTCGAACATAAACCTCCTTAAACAAAAATTATTCTTGGCATTTGGGTGAAATTTTTCGGTTGTAAGTCACTCTCAAGCCAAAGGTTGACTGAGATCTGAGAACTTTTACGATAATCATAATGATTTGCGGGTAATTATTAAAAATAGATTTTGACGCGCAATATGACATCCTCTGCCCCTATCCATCTCATGGATAAGCGCGTCGATTTCGTCGTTTTTTCTCTTTGTTATAAAAGCGTATATTTAACCAGTACCAATTTAAGCACTATATAGAACAAATTATTCATTCTAGTGCAGTCATGTTTCCCATCCGGCACCATCATGTGGGAAATGAAAAATTCCGAGACAGGCGGCCGAACTCATGTTGTATGCAGCCGTCCGCCAAACGTGGCCTTCGGGAATAAACCGAATGCTTTGCATGCCGCGCTCTAAACACGAATAACCAATGCTCTACACACGTTGGAATGTCAGTTACGGATTTGAAAAGCTCGATAAGTATTATATGTCTAACTATCTATATTGACGTAAGATCCTTTGCAGGGTAGATATAATCATTGTATTAATACGTAAAGCAAAAATGTTTGAACCACCTTTTAATAAAATTGTGCGGATTAAAGAATACTCCTTACGGGTACAGTTAAATTTTACTGGAGAAGAAATGAAAACACTAGCCATGGGAAGAATGACTGGGTAAAAAAGAAGTTATATTTAGTCTGACAGTCAGATAAAAGAAAAATATTAAATACCTATTTTCTTGCTTCAATTTAAATAAAAATAAGCAATAAAGTTGAGGAGTGGGAGCTCGCTGCGTTACAGTTTTGTAGAAAATGTACAAAAGCGTGACGTCATGCGACATTTCAACTCAAATACGTGTTTAATATTTTTTAGTTGTCATCCCTATCGTACTTGTAATTATTTAAAATACAATAAATTCAATAAAACATACACTTACAGCCATGAAATATTTACACATACTAACACATTACTTTTATTCGCAGAATATCAAAATTTTGACTATTGAACGACTCCTAGTATAGAACCCTTTCACAAAGTTTAAGATGAACATTAACTAATTGAATTATGAAGAACAAAATTATCCCTGATATCGAATTGCACCATAAAAAAGTAGTCAATCTGAGGTCAAGAGTTCGATTAACGATGTCAATGAAGGAAACTAGCTTTTTCTATATTGTGTTCAGCTTGGGTGTTGTTGTAACATATTAGATTAAGTAAACATAGAAATGGAGTCGAATTTAGCATATCCTATGAATACCGTTTTCACCTTTATTTCCCATAAAATAAAGGTGCGATCACCAATTCCGTTTAGTAATATCGGACACCACATATGCGATGTATATTTGCTGATAGTAAAGGTTGTTTTATGACTGCGGCGTATGTTCTGAATGCTGCTGTGAAACCGGATATTACTCAATGCTGGCTCTGTCTGTCAACTACTGCTACGTTTGATTTTGAAATGATATCTAAATGTGCACTGATATTCTAGATTCTCTTTAGAATGTTGCCGCAGGGATTATATCTCTGCTGTCCTGTTTCAAACATCACCACAACCTTTATACATATTATGAAAGTCACATCGTTAAACACTTGGCGCAAAAGTAGTCAAAAGTAGTCAACATAGTCAAAAGATTAACAATAGTTTGGAGCCATGCATCTTATAAGAGTAATTCAAAGAAAATTATGTTATTTAATCAGTAGTTATTATAAATACATTTAATTGTTATTATTATTATCAATATTATACAACAATTAAAGCAAAAAACACATATCTCACAATTTTATCACTTTAAAACAGTTATCTATCTTAAACTAAACGTAAATGTTCTACAGCCAACGTATCATTCTTTCAAAAATCTATAAGTTCAATAATAGTTAAATTTAGATAAGGCTCTTAATTTACACCGTAGTCACTTCCACATAAGGATCACAATTCCATTCAATAACTGAATAGTTACTCCAAACGAAATTGCCCTTTACCGACAAAGGCGCCTCCAATGCCAAATACAAAATAGCTTTGGCACCATCCTCAAAAACTTTCGAGGTCCTCCTATCTTCCCTCGTCGACAGATTGCCAGGGTTAACGCAGTTTATCACTACACCTTTATCACTCCACTGTCTATGTTGCAAAAATGTCACAGCATTTAGAGCAACTTTGCTGACTGCATGGACGTTAGTTCCCCAACCCAGGGTTCTTTCTTCGCCTCTTCTAGCAGCTTCTTCATACTCTTGCATAATAGCAACTAATTCGTCTTCAGTTAGCGATGGATCTCCTATCCTCTGTCTAATAGTCTCATTTTCTATAGTAGCTAACAAACCAGCAGGCCCAGATACATTCACCACTCGTGCATTTTCATTTAAAATAGGGTACACTAAATTTCCAAAGTTTATATAACCATAAAAGTTCACACTTAAAGTTCTTCTAACTCTCTCCGTTTGCGGTATATTCTTCTCTGGCATGTGATCCGTGCAATTTATCAGCAATTCAATCCTCTCGTCCATATCTTGAATATAATGCCTCAACTTTATGATACTCTTCGTTATCGTTACATCCATTTGTATGTGCTTCAAGTCATTCTTTCTCGTATGTAATGCTTTCAACACGTTGTACCCTAAAGATTCCTCTTCGGTCGTAAAATATATTTTGTGTCTATACACTTCTGTTAATTTCATCAGCACTTGGTAACCTAGATTACTAGCGGCGCCAACGACGAGAGCTACGTTGGTCATGGTCGCTTTAGTAATACTACCTTATCACGATATCGGCCCATCAATCCGCGCCTTCTTATCGCTAGTGTGCGACTGCCAAGCAAATAAGATAAGATTCTGATAGCGCTACGCGCGACAGATGATTTGAGATGCTGGGAAAGTTTTGCACATTTGTTTTAAAGTAGACTGATCACATCAAGTGTTTTCCAATTAATAAAGAAGTTGTTTTTAAGCTTACATTTAAACAATATAAATTCACATGGAAAACAATTTTAGAATAAAAGCCCAAGACGAGGGTTATTCAATTATTAAATCAATGTTAAATTGAATTGAAAATTATGAATCACATATTACCAGATATGTGGTTGTCATAGTACACTGGTATTACCCATTTTCAGAGAGAATTATCCATAAATATAATTAACCTATTAAAAATGTGACGAATATAAAACATGCTATTTATCCTCATAACTTTTAATCAGAAAGAACAGATGGCCAATAATGAAATAATTACTGTCAAAAATTTGTTTCTACGTAATACAGTTACAAACGGAACGATTTACAATGGCCATCGATTCATAATTAAAGATAATTATCGTAATAATCGTAATCGTAAACACTAGTGCGTACACATGACATCTTATCGTTTTAATTCATTTCATAATCAGAGCATTATTTACAACATGTACCTACGCGAGCTGGGAATAATTCTTTATCTCAATCGGTGACAAATTAATCTAATTTCAACCTTGTAGGATTAATATAGTATTGGACTCGACATATTTTAAATAAGTGTAAGTAAACAATGGCAACAATTATGTTGCACTAACTAGACTAAACTTAGATTTAATCCTGTCAAACTGCGTTTTCATAACCAAGATAATAAAAATAAACTTATTGTAATCAAGCATTCATAAGTACAATGCGTGTATAGTGAAACTGACGCCATTATTTATAAATAAGTAAATGTACCATCAGACAAACCCAGCGATTTTTGATGTGCATGTAATAATGATAAACGTTGTGTGGAGGCCCCCTTAAATATTTGTTTAATTTTAATTCAATTATTTATTTTTAAAGAAGCGGTATACATCTTCTGTAAAAGTTTCAAGCGTCTGCCTGGTGTCGTTATCAATATCGAGCAAAAACAAGCAAAAAATCACTTTTGTGAGCCCCTTTAATGTTTCTTTTATTCTGGTTTTTACGTTACGTTTACACGGCAACAAAAACACATAATCAGTGAAAATTTCAATTGTCTAACTACACGATTTTTAAGATACAGCCTGGTGACAGACAAACAACGAAGTCTTAGTAATAAGGATCCCGTTTTACTGCATTGTGGGACAGGCAGAGAAATCCAAAATCACGTAATTTAAATGCATTTTTATTTTCTAAATGGTTTTGTATTTTTAAGAAAAGAAACATTAACTAACTTTTAGCCAGTCAAAAAAATAATAAAGCATCTTCAAAAAGGTGTAAGTTTTATTTTAATTATTCATCAGCCCTGTTTCGTCCCCACTGCTGGGTCTCAGAGCTTCTTTATGGATAGTTAAGGAGGACGGACCATGACCCTCCACGCTGGCCCAATGCGGATTGGAGGATATTAACGTGCCCTCCAAAGTACGGAGTAGCTCAAGATAATATTTTTTTGATCCCCCAATCCATCACCGACCCTTGCAAAAGATGCTTAACAACAACGGTCGCGTGCCTTATCCAGTACGCCACCAAGCTACTCTATTTTACTATTTTAATTATACGAATAAGAGATATCGAAACACAGTATATTCAAAAATATTTTTGTATGGTAAATGTGTGACCAAGTCGAAAGTTATATTAATATTACTATATGCACATAAGGCACATGCAATGCGCCCTAGTTTGCTCACACCATCAAAGGGCTCAATAAATATTTATTGCTACTCAAGGTTTTTATCACAGTCTGGATACTTTTGAATCAACATTTACATCTCCGATGTGTTTGTTGATAGATTTTAGCGAAGATTATTCTGGATATAGATTCTATGGTCGACACATACAAATAGGTAATGAATTTTGTAAAATCTTTCATTAGAAAACTCGGTCACTGAGTGATTAAATTCGACTATATGGGCCAAATATTCGTTTCTAACTCGGTATATATATCTTGATTTTAGAAGCTGAATAACTCGTTTCCTATATCAAGCATTCGGCATACAGAGTTGGATATAATTAAGTTTCTTCTTAGCAGATGAGTTGTCCCATGTACAGGACGTGCTAAGGAAAAATGGATACAGCGCAAGGAGGTCATACCCTATCCGAAGGTGTAAGGAAAGACTACCTAAGGTTCCCAGGCAACGGGCATTTTTAGGCTATGTTAAGGGAGTAACGGACAAAATCGGTTCCATTTTGAGGAAAAATTTTTCTATAGACACCATTTTTACTCCTTTATCAAAAATGTCACACCAATTGCGATCACCAAAGGATAGTATTCCTTACCAAAAACCTGGCGTTTATAAAATTGACTGCAGCTGCGGTAGTTCATATATCGGACAAACGAAGCGGACTATCGCCGAACGTGTAAGAGAACACATAGCAGCGGTCAAAAATCGTCAAGTGGAGAAGTCCGCGATTGCAGAGCACTTATTATCATCTGGATCAAACCACTGGATCGAGTTACATACACCTCATGTCCTTTCCACTGAACGACATTACTATCCAAGGATTGTTCGTGAAGCGGTTGAAATCAAAAAACACAACAATTTCAACCGGGAAAGTGGATATAAACTCTCACCAACGTGGAATCCGGTTATAAAAATGTATAAGTGTCGCGATCGCAAACAACCACGAACAATATTCTCGGATACCGTAAGTGCAGTGTGTCGCCACCTTTACGTATAATAAAATCAAGTGGAGGGTACATCTGAAAATCAGTTAAAAACATTATTACCGGATTACCCTCAACTAAAATCAGAAGACGACACCCGCCAGTTCTCCAGTCTCCTCGTGACCACGGCTGCTGTAACGTAGCCGAAACGTCGAGGTAAATTAATTGTTTTAAAAAATGCACGAACAAGACCCGATTGCATATAATTATAATTTTTAACATATTAATTGAGAAGTTGTATAGAAAAATCAAAATAAAATATAACCATCAGCAGAGAAGCAAGAAACATTGCAAACAAGGTATGTATTCTTAAAATCCACTTTGATATTAGAATGGAATATTTCGATATCTATCCCGTTGTATCCAATGTATTTTGAAAGCGATAGAATAAAACAGAGAACTATGAATTTCACGATATTTCGAATACTGTTCATAAGAGTTAAGACTATAATGTTGTGCTTCAAATAAAATAAATTAATACTAATTTTTCGGGCTTACAAGAAACTAATTATTCTAACCTCATATAATTGAATAGGCACTTCTTAGAAATATAGAGCAGAAGATCCGGTCCACACGATAAAAAACCATTCAACTGCATCTTTAATCTCCTTTTATAAACTCGTCTAAACAGTGAATTTCTAAGACAGTTGGAGTTCACACAGAAATATTCAATGATTTCAATAACTGAACACAGTTCATGTTTTACTGTCGGCATAGCATAAGTAACAAGTACTGCGAGCTCAAGTTCCGTCAAGTTTTATTGTTTGTCAAGTCGTCGTCGGCACAAGTCGAGTCGTTCGCCGCTTTTATTGCCCTGATCGTCTTTACTAGTGCCGACGTCGCGTCGCACACGTTTATAACAATCCAACAACGTTTAATGCATTCCAACGTCACACGTCCCAACTAAATAAATACATACTACTGAAAGCGTAAACGTTAGAATAAACTCCGCTATTTGTTAAAAAAAGGGGATAAAACAAACAGCCACATAATTCATCTTTCACTCTTTTTATTATTAGTTATGATAAAAATAATAATAATCGTGTAAATTCTTGCTAACTTAAGCAAGAAAACGCTCAAAGATCGAAATTATTCATTGAGCGAAAAAAGGTTCATAACGCTTTTTGGTCATATTAAAATATCCACATAGTTACGGCTCTTATGGAAAAGCTCACGACACCTTGTGGCATTCACAGAATAACCACATAGCAAAATACATTTATACGAGTAACAAATGGTATCGTAAAGTAAGTACTTTGTTTCCGTACTTGATCGATCACTCACTGAGGAGTATCAAAAATTCGCTTGCATAAGACTGTTTACTCAGTGGTAAAGTGTCTAATGTTTGTCTGATGAAAAAGCCCCACAGGTGCAGTCTCTCTATCTGTCGTATGATTAACCATAGATAGTCCCTACCTATTTTATATATATGGTGATTCTTGAAAACTTAAACTTCCAGTTTGAAACTATACGTCATAGTTGTTTAAAAAAAAAACTGATTGATATATTTTTTAAATAAATGACATCAGAGCCTGCTAAGATATAAGATTGTAATAGATTTTAAAATATCAGTTAAGATTCATTATTTTTGAAGAATAATATTGACGGATGTATCAAAACGGAAGTACAAGTTTCCGAGAATCACGATCTATCTAGCCTGGTGATCTTTTTTCAGTTTTCAATAAAACCAAAACGTACATTTAGTCAAAATTTGTCAAAAGTCATAACCGAAATAAAAAAAAAAATATCACTCTTAAGCGATCGAAGATATTGCCCAATATGTGGATCACTCAATTCAGACATTAGACAAAATGGCTACAAGCTGAATCTCAGGAAATACTTACACTGTGAATGAAATTTTTATATCAAAAATTTGTACAGAATTGGTCTCATTATTTTGCAAAAAATCAAGATACTTCAATGTAAATCCAGGATTCTAAGATAGTTTCAATGGATCACTCAATCCTGACGTATTTAGATTGAGTGATTCTAAAAATACGGTAATATGCTTACAATATACATGATTACTTTTTTTTTTACTTTAAAGGAACTTTTAAATATATTTGTCAAATTAATTCCACACCACAAATGTATATAGTTAAAAAGTTATGCCCAATCAAAGCATTTAAATTTGCAGAATTGAGTGATCCTTATAAACGCATGTAGATAACAACCCCTTGTTATAATGTTATATACAAAATACGTTGAAAATTTCTACAACATTGTGACTAAAATTTGGCATATAAATTTATTTGTTAAAGTCATTTTACTTAGCGTTGTTACAACATATAAATTCAATAAAATTGAAACTTTTTGAAGTAGGTTATTG